CGCCAAACCAGTAAAGTTTGACGAGATCGACAAAGCCAAGGAGGAGAAGAAACGAGGAATAACGATAAATATCGCACATATCGGTTATGAAAGCAAAAATAGACGATATTCACACACGGACTGTCCTGGACATTCGGATTTCATAAAGGTTCGCTGCTTTTATTCACTTAGAATCTAGTACGAATTCTTTCTTCAGAACATGATCTGTGGTACGGCTCAAATGGATGCAGCAGTATTGGTTATCGCAGCAACTGATGGAGTAATGGCGCAGACAAAGGTATGCTTGGGTAAGCTTTACAAGGTCTTTTTGCTTATCATCCCCATTTTCTTCTCCTTTTTTTATGACTACGCTTTGTACTTGCAAATTAAGCGAGTTGTCTTCAGGAACACCTAATCCTTGCTCGACAGCTTGGCTTGAAACATATAATAGTCTTCATAAATAAATCGGATGCAGTAGAAGAGGATGTACTCGATCTAGTTGAAATCGAATCGCGAGAGCTATTGTCAGCACATGGATTTGATGGTCCGTTCATAAAATATCAACGTTAGAATCCAACTCAAAATATTTCAGGAGACAATGCACCAGTCATCCGAGGCTCAGCTTTGAACGCACTAGAAGGAAAAGATTCCTCAAGTATAGTTGAGTTGCTCAAAGCCCTTGATGCCCTCCCGGAACCACAACGGAACGAGGTATTTTTTGTGATAATTCTTTTGAACTTTCAATTCGATGTCAACATAAACAGCTTTATCTTCTTACATGTCATTAATGTCCTTTGCACTTGAGACTTCGTTCCATTTCCTCGCGTCTAATTTTAGAATGAAGCACTGATAATGCCTGTATCTTCAAAAACTGCGATAACCGGACGAGGTACGTAGGGCTTCCCCATTTATGACTCGAAATGAAGACACTTATAGGCACGGTTGTTGTTGGTACTATTGAGCAGGGAACATTGAAAAAAGGCGACAAGGTGGAGATCAAAGGTGATGATAGAGAAGTCGTGACCGTAGCCTCTGATATACAAGTGTTTGGTAAAAGCGTGAAGGAGGTGAGTTTCTAAGT